TGGGGTCCCCACACCATCCATGTGAACCCCCTTTGGGATGGTCAGTGACTTCCCCTGCTACTTTTAATATTTATTTTCCTTAATCTCAGTGCAGAAGCAGACACCATTGATCATGCGACTGCCTTTGAAAGCCTCGCACCCTCTACATATGTCCTGGGTTTGCCCCAACCTGACTAACTGGCCTGCACCTCTCGCTCCAAGACTCCGCTGTGAAAGTTGTAGCAACACATGGCTGCTCCCCTTGTTTTTTCTTTAGCTACCTTTTACATTACAAATTTTACATTTACACCTTCTCATAACACAGGAACTAGGGGTCACCACATTATACTAAAGCAGCGAGGAGTCCTGTGGCACCTTGTAGACTAATAGAAGTGTTGGCGCATAAGCTTCCGTGGGCAAAGACCCACTTCGTCAGATGCATCTGACGAAATGGGTCTTTGCCCACGGAAGCTTATGTTCCAACACTTCGGTTAGTCTATAAAGCGCCACAGGACTCCTCGCCGCTTTTGCAGATTCAGACTAACACAGCTACCTCTCTGATACTCGACACATCATATTAACAGGCAGCAAGTTTAAAATAAACAGAAGGAAGTATTTCTTCACACAGCCACCAAGTGGAACTCTTTGCCAGAGGATGTTGTGAAGCACAAGGCTACAACAGGATTCGGAAAAGAACCGGGGAAGATCCTGGTGGATAGATTATCAATGGCTATAAGCCAGGGTAGGCAGGGAAGGTGTCCCTAGCCTCTTTTTGCCAGAAGCTAGGAATGGGCGTGAGGGCATGGACCATTTGATGATTCCCTGTTCTGTTCATTCCCTCTGAAGCAGATGACATTGGCCACTGTCAGAAGATAAGATTCAGCATGTTAAGGGTAAAAATCCTAGGTTGGTAATGTTTAAAGGTATTAAAGGGCATCCATTTTGAAAACAAAATGGAAGATCAGTCTTGTGACACTGGGTTTGACAGGCCAAGGTTTTCCCGCCTTTTTGCAGCAGAGAGGCAAGCACGTTCCAGTCAAAACCAGAGTTACCTCAGAAATTCATAACGGGTTTCCCTATAGGGGCAAACTCTGCGGGTTCTCCCTTGCAGGGGTTTCCCGCCTTAGACTGCATAAAAGGCTGGCAGCTGAACAGCTCGGGCCTGCCCATCCTAGCGGCAGGTTGTGCGGGGTTTTCCTTCCAGGTCATCTGGATTCCGGACCAGATAGCCGCAGCCATAGGGAAGACTCTACATAAGACCACAGCCAGCAACCTTGCCAATTACTTACCAACTGCAGCGGGGAAGACTACAAGGGCTCTCCTCAGTGTTCCCCTCTCAAGGCTCTCCAGGAGCCATGAGATCTGAGGTCCTGAGCGACCATCTGGGAACTGTCAAGAAGGTTTCTGTAAACTTGCCGTTATACTTACCTTATTATTTAGACTCAGCCAAAGGCTGATTTTGTTTAAATTGTTCTATCTTGTTACCTATTGAATTCTCTTTTTTTGTAAATTTTCCCTAAATAAATTTTCCGTATGTTCGGTTTACCTACAATAAATGATCTTCTTTGATTGATTAAGGGAAAAGGGAGGCACACCACCAGATGACAGAAGCTGTCTGTCACAGATCCGGACAGAGGGTCTAATATTGTTGGGACCCCCTGCAGTCTTTTCTCTCAATCCTTCCTGCCTTAGCAATCCATCCACTGACTTGGATCGTTATCTACTCAGGTTTAGCAACCTGTCTCCTGATACTTTATGTATAGAGGTAGGGGGGTGGGTGACAGAGCATCTTTCTCCTCCCCTCCCCCGCCTTCCCTTCTCCTATTTATTTCGAGTTTTTTTATCCTCTAGTCATAACTCCAGTTATCTGAAGAAGTGAGCTGTGCCCACTAAAGCTCATGATCCCACCTACATGTTTTGTTAGTCTATTAAGTGCTACCAGACCATTTGCTTGCTGTTTTTAACAAGGGCTAGATGGACCTTTGGTCTGACCCCATATGACCGTTCTTATGTACCTCCTCTCACTTGGATGTCTCAGGTCAATATCATCAAATTCTCATATGATGTTGGCCATCCAACTCTGTCCCTTTAAATTCTTTCCCCCTTTCCCTCGATCCTACCCTGGGTGTCTGTTGGGACATCAGTCTCTAACTGAATTCCCTTCAGTTGAGTGTCTCCTGTTGGATTTACAACCAAATAGAATTTGGTGAAATTAATATTTGTTATGTGCTGGGTGAAATAAGATCAATAGGTACGAACTCATGTAGAATCCTAGGGCTGGAGGAGACCTCAGGGAGCCAGAGTCCAGCCTCCTGCCCAATGCATGACCTGTCTCAAGTCAATCATCCCAGCCAGGGCTTTGTCAAACTGGAACTTAAAAACCTCTAGGGATGGAGACTCCACCCACTCCCTAGGGGAAAGAGTTTTTCCTAATATCCAACCTAGACCTTCCCCACTGCCACTTGAGACCATTGCTCCTCATTCTGCCATATGCCACCACTGAGAACATCCTCTCTCCAGCCTCTTTGGACTCCCCCTTCAGGGAGTTAAAAGCTTCTATCAAATCCCCCCCCTCACTCTTCTGTAGACGAAACAAGCCCAAATTCCTCTGCCTCTCCTCATAGGTCATGTGCTCCAGCCCCCTAATCATTTCGGTTGCCCTCTGCTGGACTTTCTCCAATGTGTCCACATTCTTTCTGTAATGGAGGGCCCAGAACTGGACGCAACACTCCAGATGTGGCCTCACCAGAGCTGAATAAAGGGGAATGATCATTTCTCTGGATCTGCTGGCAATGCTCCTCTAATGCACCCCAATATGTCGTTGTGCCTTCTTGGTTAAAAAGACACACCGCTGATCCATATCCAGTTTCTCATCCACTGTAATCCCCAGATCCTTTTCTGCCTTCAATCCCCAGGTCTTTTCTCACCCTTCAATTCACACAGCTGTAAAGATATGCCCACACCTAAGGAAAAGGGAACATGTGACCTCACACACGAGTTTTTGCTAGTGCCTGCTTTTTGGTAGACGTGAGTTTGAAGGAAGGCAGAACATTATGTTTGATCCTGGAAGAAACCTGGGGAGAGGTGCCTGGGTCAGAGATCCAGTCTGAAAAGACTGCTCAGGGTGCCATGAGCAAAAGAATCCGTTACCGACTCCTGTGTCTCTGAACACAGCAGGCAGAGACCGATTAAGACATGCTGAGGCACTAAACGATGTCAAGTTTGAGGCCCCATAGCATCATCCAAAAAAAGGTGTATTATTCTAACCGAAATGGTAAAGTTTTATATATATCTACACACCAGTACACAGGTGAGGCTGCAACTAAAACTAGTCTTTTTTTTTTTTAATTTAGAGGGCCCTTCATAATCTGAGGCCCTAAAATGCAGTTTATTTAGCTTGTGCAGTCGTTTCAGACTGGACCTCTGACCCAGACACCTCTCCCTAGGTTTCTTCCAGGATCAAACACTGTGTTTTCAGCTGTTCTTTTAGGCTGTCTGGGCATCCCTCTACTCCTCCGTGTTCTGCTTTCCTTCAAACTCACACCTCTGCCAAAAAGCAGGCACTAGCTAAAGCTCATGTGTGGGTTCACATACTCCCTTTTCCTTAGGTGTGGGCATATCATTATAGTTGTAAATTCCATCAGACACCCGACGATCACTAATTTCTCCTTCCCACTGGAACATCCTCAGGGCCCCAAACTGTGACTAGCTGCTGGGGTCAAAAAGGAGTAACTGTATTTTGCTTTTCCACCATTGTACATCACATAACGTATCCCCTGAATCTCTCTGTGATGTGTTTAACCAGTTCTGTGCAAAGCACTATTTCGTGAATGCCAGTAAGAGATGTCAATATTTGAGTAGCAGGACAAAGATCTTGCTTGAAGGCTGTGTGCCCGATGGAAGAACAATACATCACTTTATCTTCTCCCTTTACCCACACTGCTGCTTAAACTAGAACATTTAGACCACTGGCTCTCCTGTGAGTTGGGAGATGCTTTTAGAAGGTCTCACCCATACTACTAACTGCGTGAATGTATTGCAATGTACCTTTGAAGAGTAATACCAGGAAAAACTATCATCCGTAGTCTCTTGTGCTGTCCAGAAACTCCAGCTTCTCCCTGGCTCCGATACAAAAGCATTTATTTGTTAAAGTTGCAGTTCTTGAATTCCCAGCTCTCTGGCAGGGATTACTGGGAAGCAGTATGGTGGGGGTAGGCACCTACATACGCTTCCTATGTTCACCCCCTGTTGTTGCCTTCTAAAATGCACATTCAGGAACATCAATGTCCATTTGGCTTCTGATTTAAAACTGGCCAGTAGCGCTGCACCTGCCTTTCATACCCACAATACTGGATGGACTCCTAGGACTGGAAGTCACCTTGAGAGGTCATCTAATCCAGTCTCCTGTACTCACAGCAGGACCAAGCACCATCTAAACCCTCCCTGATAGATTCCTATCTGACTTGCTCTTAAAAAATCTCCAGTGATGGAGATTCCACAACCCCCCTAGGCAATTTTTTCCAGTGTTTAACCATCCTGACAGGTAGCACGTTTTCCCTAATGTCCAACCTAAACCTCCCTTTGCACGTATCATTTAAGCAGTGAGATTGCTGCCCATGATCAATTGCACCTGCCATATCACAGGCTCTGTCCATCTCAAACATGGAAAATTAAGGTCATGTGACTGGTGGATTCTGGAACCCAATTAGGGCAAGGCTTGGTGTGGAGTCAGAGGGGCTGCTGGGAGGAAGAATTCAGCCCAGCCTTCAGCCCCTAGGAGGAAACTCTGATCTCAAGGGGTGAGTTTCCAGGCTAGGGAGGCTAGAAGTTGAGGATTGTGGAAGTGAAGGCCCCCAAACCAACTGTAAGAGGCTATGTGGTGGGAGCTGGACTCTACCAAATAAATTAGACTCAGGGGCACTGGGGGACATTGTTTTAAAGATGTTTCTGAGGGTGCATTTTTCTGGGAACTTCTGAAGGAAACTGAGGCAGAGTTCCTGCAGGACCATCCCATGCTTTGGGGGTGGAAAGCCTATAACAGAGGTTACCACTAGCCTTGTTTGGATTGCCCAACAAAATCCTGTGGCTTTTCTGCTGGTGGGGATGCTGCCAATAAACCCAAGTTGCTGTTGAGACATTTGAGTTAAGCAGGAGATGAGGGCTTTATAC